ACTGAGTTAAGGGTGTGCGCGTTTTAAATTTCAGAGCACGTGTCATGGCGTGTTTTCACACAGCCCTTAGAGGGGCATGTTAGCCTGGTCTTCCCAGCGTGGACATTAGAGAGCTGTCGGCCCGGGGCCAGGCTGGCGCAGTCATCTTTGCCTGCAATTCAAGAGTCCAGAGTTTTCTCCCACCAGTGGCTTTGGGGCTTGCCGAGCTAGTCCGAGCAAGTGGTTTTCAAACCTGCCAAGTTCTTAAGGTTTCCTGAGAGCGTTTTTACGTACATTTCCTCCTCACAGCTTCCTGGAGCATTGGGAAGAAGGCGGTGCAGGTGGCACGTTGGTGGCTGCAAGGAGCACTGGGGAGAAATCCCAGAGCCTGGGTTCCAGTCCCCCCAGCACGGCCTCCCACGTGCTGTGAGAACTAAGAGCCCCATCGCTGTTCCTGTGTCTGGGCTTCCGTTTCCTCCTCTGAAAAAGAAGGGCCGACTGAACGGGCTCAGAGGGTCCTTCTAGGTCTAAATTACAGAATTTGAATAACCTCATTTGACCAATGACAAACTGAAGTATGGACTGGGGACACTGATCTATGGCGAGTAATTGGGACACAGCTCTTCTGTCTGCCTTTTAACTTATCATGCGGATTTTCAGACTCCCTTGTAGACATCTACTTGCCTACAGTCAGTCAGGGAGTTCATAGCAGCCTGTGAGGCAACACTGAACGGGAAGAACATTCTGCCTTCGGGCGAATAAAACAATCTGACCTTTAGAAAGCAGAGTCTCCGACCTTTATTGTGGTTGACCTTGAGCCCTGGTAGCCCTGGGAGCTAAGCTCAGGCACTGCTGATCTGAAGTCCTGCCAGGGTCTGGTGGAGTGGTGAGGCGTAAGTTACTTGTCATGCACAAGAGGTTACCAGGGTACCAACTAGAGAAAGTACTGGTAAACAGCTCGCTTTCTTAAGCCATAGTACAAGATGAATTCTCTTACTTCAGATTTGACGGTCCGTGTTAAAGAGTAGAGACTGCAGTGACATTCAACACAATGTCACATGCACATCTACTTTGTCTGAACATTGAGGCACAGAGAGGTTAAGTAACTTGTCTAAGGTCACACAGCTACTATGTGGTACAGCCTGGATTCAAATCCAGGTATTCTGGCTCTCGAAACAGTGCCTGTCCAGGGAAGACTGATAAGAAATTGGCCAATTATAATTATTATATCGTGGGAAGTTCTCCAGCAGTGCCAGCCACTAGAACCTTCGGCAGTGATAGAAATGTTCACTTTTCTGTGTTGTTCAATATGGTAGCCACATGAAGGTAGCTATGGAGACCTTGAAGTATGGCTGGTGCCACTGAGGAACTGAATTCTTAATATTAGTTAATTTTAATTAATTAAAGAACTCAAATCAGCAAGAAAAAACCAAACAACCCCCTCAAAAAGTATGCAAAAGACATGAACAGAAGGTTTTCCAAAGAAGATGGACAAATGGCCGACAAAAATATGAAAAAATGCTCACCGTCACTAATCATCGGGGAAATGCAAATTAAAACTGCAATGAGATACCACCTTACCCTCTTAAAATAGTCATTAAAAAGTCAAGAAACAATAGATGCTGGCATGGGTGCAGAGAGAAAGGAACACGTATGCATTGTTGGTGGGACTGCAAATTCGTACAACCTCTGTGGAAAACAGTATGGAGAGTCCTCAAAGAAATAAATGTAGATGTACCATTCGATCCAGCAATCCCACTACTAGGTATCTACTCAAAGGAAAAGAAGTCATTTTATAAAAAAGACACCTGCACTCAAATGTTTATTGCAGCACAATTCACAATCGCAAAGATGGGGAATCAGCCTAAGTGCTCATCAGTTCACAAGCAGATAAAGAAAATGTGGTATACGAGTATGTACGCCATGGAGTACCACTCAGCCATAAAAAGGAATGAAATAATGTCTTTTGTAGCAACTTGCGTAGAACTGAAACCAAACGCCACATGTTCTCACTAATAAGTGGGAGCTAAGCTATGGGCATTTGCAGGCACAAAGAGATATAAAGGACATTGGAAACCAAGAACGGCGCGGGGAGGGGAGGTGGGGGTTGAGGAATAAAAACTTACCTATTGGGTACAATGAATACTATTCTGGCGACAGGCACACCAAAAGCCCTGACTTAAGCATTACATAGGGTATCTATGTAACAAAAACATTTGTACCCCCTTAATATTTTGAAATTAAAAAAAAATTTAAAAGACCAGCCAGAGCAACATAGCAAGACCTAGTCTCGACTAAGAAAAAAAAAAGCATCTTAGAGTGCGCTCGGACGACCACTTCCGTTCCTGGGTCTCGGGGAGAATTCCGTCAAAGGTGTCATGCCTCTGAGCATGTCAGGTGACCTTTCAAGGCAAAAGGGCTACCCTAAGTGGGGACTGACTCCCTCCCTACAGTGTGCTAGCAGCGTCCCCACGTTATACCACGCACCTGGAGCTTGGGCAGCCTGTCCCAAGACTGGCTTGATCATCAGGTGCCAAAGCCTTAGAGATGTGCTCTGTGTAACCCGGTGATTCTATACTTAGGAATTTCTCTTATGGGAATTGTCTCAGGATGTTTATCATATTGTTGATGATAGTAGTGAGAAAATACTGAGCAACCTGGAAGTGCCAGTGCTTGGGGATTGGTTAATTGAATGATGCTGCATTCACAGAGTGGAATATTCTTCAGCTATTGAAGGTGACAATGTAGAGGAGGTGACTTAGAAGGTTCTGGACAGGACTATGCAAGGATCTTTTCTTGGGGTGATGAGTTATTTTCAAAGGTATTCTTTGTGACTCTCTGTAATTCCTAAATGTTTTATAATGAGCATGTGTTACTTTGGTAGCTGGAGAAAGAAAAGGTTCTACAGGCAGTGGAATTAGGCTGTTTGGACTGGCAGATGTTGTTAGGGTCTGTGAGTGTGGCCATTTATCAGAGGTGAGTTAGGGATTTATTCTGAATTCCTGTCCTTGCCTACACCTCACTGGCAGCCTTCCTGGGAACATGATGGGGTACACGAGTGTCCCCAACAGGCAAGAGAGAGGGTATGGGAAAGGAAATGAGCACTTACTGGGCATCTCCTGAGTGCCAGGCCCTGTCCTAGGAGCTGTCACATGGGTCCTCTTGTTTGAAATCTGTGCCCTTGGGGTGACCACCATTTCCTCACTGAATCCTTATAACTTTTCTGCAACTCAGAGAGGGATGCGAAGTCCCTGAGGTCACACAGCACGGCTTTCCCAGGCACTCACTCCTTCTGCGGGGCCATCTATGCTTACTCGGCTAAGATGGTTCCAAAAAAGCTGCAAAGAGGCCAGCTCCCCCTGCCAGGGAAGAACGTAGACTGCTGAGAACCAGCCAGCTCACCTGCACTGATCAGGTGCCCTCTGTGTGCAGCCGGGCTCCAAGGAGGGAACAAAGGTGTTGGAGCCCCCAGTCTTAAAGGGCCCCTCTGCTGAGCTGCAGAGTCCCAGAGGTTGCATCTATGTTGTGACCCCCTCTCCCTCCACTCCTGGCTCTCCGCTGCCTGGCACACAGTAGGTGCTCAGTAAATATTTGTTGAGTAAATAACTTACGTGTCCCACTTTGCCTGGTACAATTGATAAGTCACCCAGGGTGTGCAGTGAGACGTTTAGGGAAGGAGTGGTCACCGTGGGCTGCGAGAGCTTTGGCTAAGTTGGCCGGACAGGAAGGGGGAACAGCGCCAGCAGAGCCGCCGAGGCCAGGAACAGGAACGTGCGAGGGTCGTGTGGGATGCGGCGTGTAGGAGGCCAGGGGGAGTAGGGAAGGGAGTTTGTTTGGAGCAAGGGCAGGGGTTGGGACTGGACAGGAAATTTGGGGCTCAGTTGCAAGGGGCCTTGGGTTTCTGTAGGAGGACAATAGGGAGCCCTTGAGGGTTTCTGAGCAGGAGATGAATGATCTGAAGCACATTCCCGCAGAATGTGCCTCCTGACCTCAAATGGAACGTACGGAATGAAGATGCGCCCTGTGGGTCTCTCTGGATTTGGGGGCAAGGTCCCTCTCACCCCCTTATCCTTACCTCCACATTCCTCCACCTTTGAGTGACTGAGAACGTCGCTCAAAGCTCAGGCAGCTGAGGCCCTGTGAGCCGTTACTGTGCCAGTGGCCCAGACGAGGGATTGGGCTTTTGGTCTCAGCTGGAGAGCTCTGGCTTCTCCCCTCTAGGTAAAGCCTGGGCCTCAGCGGCAGCCAGTTCAGTGGCTCCATCACCAGAAATAGGCTTTTAATTTGCCAAGCGGACAAATTAGGGAAGCCGGCAGTTCTCTCGTTTCATGGAAACTAATGGCCTTGGCCAGCTCTGTGGTAGCCAGAGCCCTTGCTCCTTGCCTGCCCCCTCTGGGGGTCCAGGCCAGGGGCAGAGATCAGTCACTGACCAGGCAGTGGCAGACCAAGGGATTGATATTGCCTGGGGCACAGTGGTTTGGACTCGGGGTGCAAGACCTCCGCCTGGGTTTGAATTCCACTTTGCCATCTACTGGCTGTTTGATTTGGGGCACATCACTTTACCTCTCTAAGCCTCAATTTTCTCATCTGTAAAATGGGGATTGTAATAAAACCCGCTCCGTAGGCTGGTTGAGGGGCTGCAGTTCAGCAAGGTGATCTCATGTTAAAGCTTTGCCCGGTGCCTGGCCCAAGTTCGGTGCTGCACGGATGTTGTGCTGGGCGATGCTGGCGGAGGGAGCACGGTGGCGGTGGGCACCTGGGCAGGGTGCCCGAACCAGCCCGATGAGTCTTGGGGGCTGGCCAGGTAGAGTCCCAGTTTGCCCAGCTGCAGCACTGAAAGTCCTGCATCCTGGGATGTCTCAGGCAAACCAAGACGGTCGATCACCCTAGTGCTCAGCTATGACGTCCAGCCCCACCTCTGAGGGCAGCAGGGAACCAGACAGGTCTGAACTTGGGGGCCAGGTGGTGTGATTTGTGTTAGCTGGGACCGGGTTCTGAGCGTTTCTGGCTTGTCCTTGCAGGACCAACTGAAGCAGTGTTTCTCCCGGCGGACCCCTGAGGCCAAGGACACCGACACTCTTGTGCACGAAGCCGACAGCCAGTATGGGACGTGGACAGACCAGCGCCACAGCAGGGACAGGTAGGGCGCGCGTGCGGGCATCCAGGCTGCGACGAGGGGCATCTGGGCCGGAGTCGATTTCTGTATTGGTGGAATCTCTCTGAAATTGCAGGAGGAAACCATTCTTACTGTAAAAACAAAAGAAGAAATTTAGAAAGTACAAAAAAATTATACAGAAAATAATATATGAGATGTCCACGGTAGGCAAATCTACAGAGCCAGGAAGCAGATCAGGGTCAGGGGCTGGGGGCGGAGGAGGACGGGCAGTGACTGCTTAACGGACACGGGGTTTTCTTTCGGGGTGACAAGTGTCCCACAGCTGCACAGTGGTGACGGTTGCACAACACTGTGACTACACTAAATGCCACTAATGGTCACTTTTATGTTATGTGGATTTTACCACAGTAAAAAAAATGATAAGTCATTGATGATCAAGTTGGGTAGAGGATGGAATTGAAAATGCACGAGAAAAAATAAAAGGGAAGCCAAGGTTTCTTACAGTGTCTGTGACAGCCATTTCCCCCAACAGTAAAACGTAAGTGTTTCGTTCATGAGCTTGCTTGCATTTCACTAGACTGCCCCGGCAAGATCGCTGGAAGCCCCGGGCCTCGGTTTCGCGCATGTCGCTGTGTGCCCCCTCCACCCCCGCAAGACCCACCAGGGCGCTCCCGTGGGCGGGCGCCCCCTGCTGCCCGGCGGCGGCACTGCAGCCTCCCGCCCCAGGGCCACCAGGCGCGGTCCTGCTCCCAGCCCTGGGCAGCGCTGCCATCTGCTGCCTCCGTGGAGGTATTTCCCCCGTCCCGGCGTTGCCTCAATCCTACCCCACAACCCCCAACGTCCTCCATATTCCAAGTGATGCAATCATCCCAAAGCTGACAAAAAGCATGGAAAAATGCCAGTACCTGGGCCTAAAGTTCTGCTCAAGGGTGCAGTTTGGGGGCGGTGGGGGGGGTGGGAGGTCTTTCAGGATAGACCCACCTGTCAAGTGTGCCCACCTGCCCTTTGTCAAGGTAAGGGTCTCCTACGCCCTGGAGGCCCTGGAGGCTTTGCTATGCTCTTAACTTCCATGTCTTTTTTATGTGTGTGTTGGGGAGGGAAGAGAGTTAATGCCTTGAATTATTTATACATTTTCTATCTTATGTGGTTCCAGTTATTAGAGTGATCCCTGAATATATTATCATGGGAAGAGATTTCAGAAGTAGGCGATATCCAAAGACCTGGCTTCTGGAGTCAGATTGCGTAACTCAATCCTAGTTCTGCCCCTTTGTGCGAGCTAATTCATCTCTATGCCTCAGTTTCCTCATCTTGAACAAGGTTCATATTTAATTTCATGAGGTTATAATAGGACTGTGGAGGTTATAGGATTATAAAATAATCCTCACAGGATCGTGGAGAGGATTAGATGACACAGTTTTTAGCACAGTGCCTCAGTATGCTCAGTAAATGCTCAGTAAATCTTTATTGAATGAATGATAAAATGAAACATTGCAGGAGATTCCCCAGCCCCTGCTCTCCCATGATAACGGCTAGTGATCATCTGATCTACATCAGGCTGTCATTGTCCAACAGAAGTCCAAAGTGATGATTTGATCAATATGCACTGCATACATGTATTGAAACATCCCTCTGTCCCCATAAACATGTATAATGATTATGTGTCAATTATAAACAAAAGAGGGAATACAATGTAAGCTGCAAATGCATGACATATATGTAATTTAAAATGTCCTAGGAGCCACACCAAAAAAGTAAAAAGAAGCAAGTGAAATTAATTTTAGTGATATATTTTATCGAAACCAACAGATCCAAAATACTGTTATTTCAACATATAATTAACATGAAAGGTTATTCATGAAATATTTTACACTCTTTTTTTTTTTTATTCAAAGTGTTGCAAATCCAGCATGTGCTTTATACTCAGGGAACATCTCCACTCTTGCTTGCACATTGCAATAGCCCAGCAGCCACCTGTGACAAGCAGCTCCCGTATGGGACAGTGCAGGGTGAGAGGGTCTTGAATGGCACAGGGCTGACTCCTCCCATTCTGCACCTGGCCGGGTGTTGCAGGTGGTCCCACGAACAGCACCCGGCTGGCATATCCTACGCTGTTTCCCAAGAGGTTCTCCTCCTGGGACGTGCTGTCTGCTGTTCCCTGGCGTACACAGGACACTCCGAGCTGTACTTCGTGCCACCTTCTTTACTTGAAATTCTGTTCTCTGGAACGCCTCCACGACCACGTCTCCCTTCCTTGCCTTTCTTGCAGCTCGGCCCCCGAGTCCCCCGACAGCAGTGCCACATCGGCACAGAAACAGCCCCCCAGTAGCCGCTTGTCTTCTCTGTCCTCCCAAACGGAGCCCACCTCTGCCGGGGACCAGTACGACTGCTCCAGGGACCAGCGGAGCACCAGCGTGGACCGCTCCAGCACCGACCTGGAGTCCACCGACGGGACGGAGGGGCCACCCCCACCAGACGCCTGCCCCACAAAGGGAGTAGACGACTTTTCCTTCATTGACGTAAGTCAATAGCCAGGAGCATGTGGCTATGTTGGAAAGAGTCATTTTTTCTTAAAAGAAGTTCCAGCATCTCCCAGTAAACTGCCCCTTCGGGGTAGGCTCTGTATTCCAGGGACCCCTGTAGTGGGTACAGAGGGCACAGTCTTTGAGTCGAGACTCACTTATGCATGTAGCTTGGTCCTGCCATATACCCACTGTGTGTCTTGGGGCAAACGTCTTGCCCTCTCAGAGCCTCAGCCTTCTTATCTACTTGTAATTAGCGTAGCAGCGCCACCGCCTCAGATACAACCAAGTGGGTTCCAGTTCAGCCTGACCTAAGCCCTCAGCTGCCAGGTAAGCAGGAAGTCTGACCTCTTACCCCTGAGCGCCCTGCCTGAGGTTTGTAATTCTGAGCATGAAGCTAGAGTTCGCTCAGAACAATTCTGAGCCCCTCTAGGGCTTCAAAGGGGATTCGCTTGCTAAGTACGGTCAAGGCTCTCGCTTGCACCTCTAGATAAAGGCAGAGGCAGAGAAAGACACATGGCCCTGGATGCAGCCACCTCTCTGGGTGTCTTGAGGATTTAGGTAGGTGATGTATTCAGTTATTCACTCAGCAAACATTTATTGAGATCCCGCCACATGCCAAGCATTGCTCTAGCTTACATACTAGCGTTATATCACCGTGCCGTGGCATATTTTGCTGGACTTTCCTCCTAGAACACTAAGCAGTTCCCTCTCAGTGACCATTATTAACGATAGTCACTGAGTGTTGGCCACGGGCCCATGCACGTTCTAATAACCCCTGAGGCGACACTGCTTGTCCATTTTGCAGATTAGGAAATCAAAGTGGTCCCTGAGTGATTGTAAATGCTGGTGTCCCAAGGCTTAGTGTGCTGCTTATTGAAACTATACTGAGGTTTACATATGACGCCAGCCATGATTTGGGGGCTGTTTGGAGCTTGAATGGGGAGGCAAGACACTAAGGAACCAGGCTGAGGCCGCGAGGGTGGCTTTGTGTGCAGGGCACCATCTGCCCCTCTCTGAGTGTGAAAAACCGGCTCTACTGAGCGGCCGGAGAAGCTAGCCCATCTCTGGCTGCAGCAGACACTCTGTGATCTCCATCTGTCCCCCCTTGCCCTGGTCCCACGCAAATCTCCCCATAGGACGCCTTTGCGGCTGGTCTGGGAAGTAGCTGTATCAGGATCAGCTCCCTCTGCCACCCCCAGTGGGGCATCTGTCACTTGCCACCTCTGGCAAATGACCTGCTAAAATGAGCCCATCATCGCAGGCTTAGAAAGCCCTGGGTGACAGAATTTCTCCAAAGAGGACCTGAGGGGAAGAAACCAACATTTCATGCAAGAACAGGAGATCGCCAGGAAGAGGGAAGTCCCGTGTGGCGACAGCTCTCAGCTGTGGGCCTTGGTCAGGCACCGTCTCAAACAATGGCTTTCCATGCCCGAGCTCAGGGAATTCTCTTGGCCACCCTAGAACTGGAATGCTATGATTATCTCCTTTTTATAAGTACGGACCCCAAGCTCAGAGAGGTGAAGTGCATTGTCCAAGGTCACACAGCCATGTTTGGAACTGAACAGGGCTTGAGCACAGACCTTCGAACACTTCACCACCATCTCCCAGAAGCCTGCTAAGCCAGGCGCTGCCCACCTCCTTTCCGGGCCCACCTGGACGGTCTGCACCCTGGGCCCTTTCACCAGGACAGTGGTGATCTTGGAAACCCTTAGTGACAGTCTGCTTGCCCCCGCTCAGAGTGTGAGTCTTCAGGGATGCGTGAAAGTGAAGGCCCGGTGTTTAGCAGGTTGCTCCGTCCCCTCCCACCTGCAGCCTAGATTGTGTGAGTGAAGGAGGGACCACATGGGGAACCTCTCAGCTCGGGGACTCTGTGAATACAGTTGACATAAGGATTTAGTTAGATGGTAAATCCCGTTATTCATTCAACAAACAAACAGACATTTATTGAGCTCCTGCTGTGTACTGAGTATTGCTCTAGCGTATATGCTAGTATGATGTCGCCAGGAGGGGAAAGGCATTTCCATGTGTGTCTCCTGCGTGCCAGGGCACTCCAGGTTCATTGTTGCACCTGATTCTTGTCATCAGCCTATATGGTATGTTTCCTGGAGAAATCCAGGCTTAGGGTGTTTAGGTTACCATGAAAATGCAGAAACACTGGCCCATGTACCACCTAAATAGCCTCTCATGTATCAATGAAGCTATACACACACACCCAGGATGGTGTCCTCAGTTGATGGTTCCCTTCCTTTTCTTCCTCTTCCTCCCTTCCACCCCTAAAGCAAACCTCAGTCCTCGACTCAAGTGCCCTCAAGACCCGGGTGCAGCTCAGCAAGAGAAGCCGCCGGCGAGCTCCAATCTCCCACTCCCTCCGGCGCAGCCGAGTCAGCGAGTCGGAGAGCAGGTCTCCTTTGGAAGAGACTGACAACACATGGATGTTCAAAGATTCAACGGGTATGTCCATGCCTTCTCTCCTCCCCAGATACCATATTGCACAGCAGGAAGGATTTAGATTAAACCCTGGGAAGAACTCTCTCAATTTAGAAGGCTTTGGAGCATAAGAGCACAGTTACACAGGAAACTGATTTCTTGTTCTGCAGAGCTTATCAGAAACTAGGTAAAATGTTTTGAGGGATGATATATTAATTGAGGATGTTTGGGTTACAAGGGACAGAGACACAACTTAATTGTGTTTCACTATTTCTGTTTTTATTCTTATTAAATTCACCTTTATACTTTCTTTAGCTTTGCTTGCTGGTATTTTTCTAGATTCTTGAGTTGAAAGATCAATTCATTTATTATCAGTCTTTTTTGTTTTCTAATAAATTATTTAAGGCTATTCATTTTCCTTTAGGGATTGCTTTGGCTGCATTCTATATCAAAACTTGAGTGAATCTTGAAGAACATATAAAAATTAGCTAGGGAAAGGTATTCCAGGCAGAAGTATCAACAGGATCAAAGGGACGAGAAGTATGGCAAGAACGTTGTGTGTATATGGCAGGAACATCTTTTAGCAGCTTAGTGTCACACAAGCTGGGAATAGCAAGAGCCATGCTGAAAAGGTAGGCAGGGGCCAGATCGTGGACGTCCTTGATGCGTTGCTAAGAAGTTAGATTTTGTCTATAGATGGAGAGCCTTGAAAGATTCTTAAGAAGAAACAAAATTTCTTCTTGCAGTGGAAACTGTAGCAGCTAAGCTCCCCACTGAGTTCCCCAGAGCTATTATAGGTGCCTTTGTTCATTTGGGATTTGCCCATGTCAAAGAGCGAGACCTCACTGCCTGCTTTCTTGGTTTTCTGAGCCAAGCTGCCTGGAACAAATGAAGACCATGTAAGGGACAAAAGCACACAGACACCCTGAGCTGGGACGTGCTGCCATCAGCCTTGAGGAGCTGGCCAGGGGCTGGGAACAGCTGAGGCCTGTGCTCTCTGGTGTGCCTCAGTTCCCTGCTTAGCCTGGGGGCTCCAGAGGACCAGGCCCTGCCTGGTTCATCCTCCTTCCCCTGCCCCCTCCTCACCATGCCACGCCAGTGTCCGGGTATCAGGGAGGGTGGAACGCCTCACCCTTCACACCTAAAAGTCTCTTGCTTGGGCATCCACTCAGCCTCAAGCATGAGGGTGGTGTTGTCCCGGAAAGGGGAGCTCACGGGGAAGGAGAGTGGCTTTGGGGTCCCCCTTTGGACCGCCCTTCCACAAGACACACAGAGCTCTGTACGCTCTTCTCTAAGAGCATAATCCCAGCACCTTGCTGGCCAAACACATTCCTGTATCCTTTCCTGCCTCTGCCAAAGATTTCCTTCTATTTCTGTCGCTTGCAATGAGCCAGGGGCCCAGGAGGTGGGTCTGTCTGTCCCTTCCCTTGAGAGAAAACCTGCTCTGCCTGTTGTCCGTATCTTCCAGCAAGAGGCAGAGTTGCGACAAGAGAGAGCATGAAAGCAGGGTTTGTCTTCATCTGTCAAACGGGCCAGTAACAGTGCAGGGCCTTGAGAGTGTGCATGAGATATTGTATGCAAAGTACCTGTCACTATAGGACCTCAGTGCATGGCAGCTGCCAATGACTTCAGTGCCGTTTTCTTTGCAACAGAAGAGAAATCGCCTAGAAGGGAAGAGTCAGATGAGGAGGAGATGCCATCTAGGGCTGAGAGGACACCTGTCAGCCATCCTCAGAGGACGCCTGTGTTTCCAGGGGTGGACCCAGCAGTGCTAAAGGTACCAAACCCCTCACCAGGAGCCACTTGGTGGCCATGGTCCTTGACCACAGCAGCAACAAGAACAGAGTTCTTGCTCCCTCCTTCCCTCCCTTCCATCCTTCCTTCCCTCCTCTCTTCCTCTATTCCTTCTTTCTCATCTTTGAAATAGTTTACAACTCAAAGGAAGTTGCAAGAATAGTACAGAGGGTTTCCATGTACCCTTCACCCAGCTTCACGCAGGGATGGTTTCTCACATGGGCACAGCTCGTTGTCAGAGTTAGGAAACTGGCCTCGGTACAGCGCTGTTAACAGTGCTATTAACTTATTCGGGTTTTGCCAGTTGCCCTGTGTTTCTCGATTTCTACTTTCTGTCTTTCCTCCACCCCTAAACCTGCTACTCTGTTTGGTCAAGCTACGCCTCGATTTACTCATCTGTAAAGTGGGCTAATGATCCATGTTAGGCACTGGGCCCAGTGCTGGGAAACGGGTGAACACTCCCAGCCTTCTGAGGCCCTTGAGCAATCCAGCCTGCTAGGGAAGGTGGGCACGGAGAATGATTGTTTCGATACCAGATGACGCAGGAAGCCAGCACTGGGACCACAGTCGCTCTCTTGAACGACACCAGGACGCCCGCTGGATATGCGATGCTGGGGGAGGGCTGGGCCACCTCCTCCTCCCCACCTGCGGCTCCAGCAGCCCAGGTGGGTGTACTTAGTTCAGGCAAGGAAGGGGGCCCTTCCCCCCGCCCTGTTGTGTGCCAGGTGCCATGCGCTTGCAAACTCACTCTATGACCCCAAGAACCCGGCAAAAAGGTAGTTATCGTCTCCCATTTTACTGAAGAAGAAATTAAGGCAAAAAAAAAGCCTAGTTTGTTTGCAGAATTCCTCAACTCTGGTTGTTCCACGAAGGCCACAGAAACCTCACATGGGAGGATCATGAATTTGTTACTCCCTCAGGAGATGGAAGTTTGGCTTTCCTGGGTCATTTCTTGCAAGAATAAAAAGCCAATAAATCGTGGCTGCGTGCTTGTCTCCGTAATCAATGTTACAGGCCCTTATCTTTCAGCCACTACCCTTGGCCAGAGGTCTTCTGACTTTTTTTTTTTTAAGCATCAAAACAAATGATCTTCCAAGGCAGCCTAAGCTAGGAGACAGAGAAGAGGCCCTGGTCACAGGTGGGGCAGAGGCCCTGGGGCTGCCGCGTGGACGTCTCGAGTAACTCCTAAGGCAGATCCCTGGATCCCTGAGCACGGCTCGCATCCACGGCTCTGTGGCAGTGAGGCTCCCGCCATCATTCACAGCGTTAACTCGGCGCCCTGGGGCCTGGCGGCTGCCACAGTAGCCCCGGCCAGTCTCCGCCACGGGCAGCGCTTGGCAGTTGTTAACAACCACAGGAGGCCACGGGGCTGGTTCTGGAAAGAGTCCTGGCGTTGGGCATGGTGCAGACACGGTATGAATCCCAGTTCTTGAAAACTGCGTGACTTCCTTGGTAAAATGGAGAAAGCCAGGCTCTACCCCGAGAAGGATCTTGTACGCGTGAAACGAGCTAATAGTTATCACAGAACTCACGCCCGGTGGAGTCCGAATGATGAACGTTCCACGCGCAGGAGCTGTCAGCAGACCACGGTGGTGATGCTGTTGCTAAGGCTGCCCCAGCGCTGCCCGAGAGACAGATGCCACCCACCACGCTCACAGCCCAGGTCCCCCAAGGGGACTTTTTTTTTTTTTTTTTTGAGACAGAGTCTCACTCTGTTGCCCGGGCTAGAGTGAGTGCCGTGGTGTGAGCCTCGCTCACAGCAACCTCAGACTCCTGGGCTCAAGCGATCCTCCTGCCTCAGCCTCTCCCGAGTAGCTGGGACTACAGGCATGCGCCACCGTGCCCGGCTAATTTTTTCTATATATTTTTAGCTGTCCGATTAATTTCTTTCTATTTTTGGTAGAGGCGGGGTCTCGCTCTTGCTCAGGCTGGTCTCGAACTCCTGAGCTCAAACAATCCGCCCGCCTCGGCTTCCCAGAGTGCTAGGATTACAGGCGTGAGCCACTGCGCCCCCCAAGGGGACTTTTTGCACACTATCTTAAGTCATTCCATTCCCAACACACCCTCCAAAAATGGGTGAAAATCCATGCTGCCATTTTCCTGTGGGACCCTAAAGGGCCATCCAAACTTCGTCTTATTTATATGCATATAGGAGTAAGGAACTTAATGGAACCAAACCTTCGACTGTCTGCACTTAGAGTGTCAGGACGGTAAAGGAGGTGGCGTGTCGTGTACTGAGAACACTATGAACAGCGGCTTTTCAGTAAAAGAGAACACGACCATGTGACTCTGGGGTGGTTATTTGATCCTGGTGGTCCAGGGCGGCTGCTTGGAACGCCAGCCTGGCCTCTGCGTTTTCTCAGCCCTCGTTTCCTGCCTGAGTCCATTCAGACACTGGGGCCCCAGTGCTCACAGAGGGCTCAGCAGGCCTGACAGCGTCACCGCATGGGCCCTTCCCCAGACAAAAGGCGGTTTATAGACTCAGCTCTCTTCTCTCCCCAGGCTCAGCTGCACAAGAGGCCAGAGGTGGACAGTCCTGGCGAGGCCCCCAGCTGGGCCCCCCAGCCCAAGGCCCCCAGGTCCCCCTTCCAGCCTGGGGTGCTGGGCAGTCGCGTGCTGCCCTCCAGCGTGGAAAAGGACAAGAGGTGAGAGGTCTTGGGGAGAGAGAGCCCCTCCCCTCCCAAACTCAGGATGGACTTCTAAGAGGTGCTTGCAGCTTTTAGAACTGAATAGAGGAGAGCTGCAACTTTTTCTTTTCGCTAGCCACAGCAGTTTTGTTTATGTGGTCGCTCAGCTCTCTGACATCTGAAAAATACGACAGAGGTAGAGGAAGGGGGCCGGCAATCACGGCAGTGGGCCTCCCTTCTTCCCCCCGCCCTGCCGCCTCCTACACTGAAAACCAGGGCTCCGCCGTTGGAAGCCTCCTGATCTAGTTTAGCCCTCTCCAGATGGATGGGGAAACTGAGGCATCCTCCCTCCTCTTACCCTCCAGGGAAGTACATTTGTCTTGGGAGATCAAGGAGACCTGAGAAGGTGGATCAAAGGCACAACCAGGTTGAAGGAGATAAAGTCACTCAGCTCGGCTGCAGTCTGTGGAGCAGCCGTCCCCATTCCTGGGCTGGGCCTGCTCGGTGCAGAGATGAGCACAGCCCAGCGCCTGCCCCACGGGGCTCTCAGACCGGGGTGTCTCAGCAGCTGGGGGTGGAGGTTAAGAGCATGGGATCTAAGGTCACATGGCTGGGGTTTAATTCCAGCTGTGCCACTTAAGAGCTGCAGGACCTGGGAAAAGTCACTCGACCTCTCTGAGCCTCAGTTTCCTCATCTGTAAAATGGGTTTACTACCCATCCTAACCTTCCGAGGTGGTTGTGGGGATGAAACTAGGAGTGTGTATAAAGCCCTTGGCGTGGGCCCCAGCACGCAGAAGCGCTCACTAAAGGATAGTGGAATTCTTACCATGAGTGCTGTTAGTACATAAAGGCTGGAGATTGCTCGTGATACTAGGGCTGAAATTATAATAAGTGCTGCCAGCACAGGGGCTGGCAAACTTATGGCCCGTAGGCCAAATCCAGCTCACTGTCTGCTTTTATAAATAAAGCTTTATTGGAACACAGCCACGCCCATTCATTTACGTGTCGTCTGTGGCTGCGTTCGTGTTACAACTGCAGGGGTAAGCAATGGTAGCAGACACCCAGAGCTGCCAATATTTGCTTCCTGGTTTGCTCTTTGAGCCCTGCAATGGAGGAAGAGCTCAGGGCGGAGACGTGAGGATGGGTGCCAACAAAGCCTTCCCAGAGGAGATACTTGAGCCGAGTCACGATGAACAGTTTGGTCTTAGCTAGACAGAGGGGCGGTGAGGGGGATCCCAGGCTGAAGCCACGGGATGTGCTAAGGCCTGGAGGCCTGGTTTTCTGGGAGCCCCAGACAGTGCGTATTGCCGGAGCACAGGGTAGGCTGTGGGAAGCAAAGGGCGAGGGTTAGAGAGAGGCAGGCCGCGGCTGAGACGGTGCCTCCCTGCTCCGGCGGTGCCAGAATCGAGGGGCTGGCCCCAGAGTCAGCTGATGGCACTCGTGTTTCTCTGGGCCTGCAGGAGCCCCAGGCGAGGGTCTCAGCGGCACCTCTGGAGGCCTGGGCTTGTGCCGCTACTGTTGGGCAAGGTTTGGCTGGAGTCCGGGGTAGCCTAGGCCCCCATCTGCCCAGGAGGACCCCTGCCTCCTCACCCCTAGGCTGGCAAGCACAGCAGTTCAAGGCCTGCCCCTGGAACTCGAGAGTCACCTCGTCCCTCGTCTGCTGAGCCGCAGACCTCCACTCCGTCCCACCGCCAGCCAGGTCAGCCACTTCCCTGAGCCCTCCAGGGCCACAGGGTCAGGAGCTTTCTCTGAGATTAAAATACGTCAAGTCCTGTACGCACGTGCGTTTGGTTATAAAAGTGGTACGTGTTTACTGTAGAAAGTTTTGAAAATATAAAAATATAAAACAGAAAAAATCATCCATGATCCTACCCTGCAAAGACCACTACTGTCAACATCTGGGCATCTCTCCTTCCATTTTTTTTTTCTTTTTTATGCAGTTGAGATCACAACAGTGTGTAGCTTTTTATTCTTGCTACATGCGTCATGTGACATTGCC